TATAACTTCAACATATAAACATTAGCGAAACCACGAAACGATAACTGTTGAAAACCTGAAGTTATTAGACGGTCGTTTCGTCTTAGTATGGGAATTCTCAGTAGTGTGTATTCATGACGTTGCAGCTAGAAATCGATTTCAATACTTTTGGTTTTATGTGCGAACGCTTAACTTCTATACCACTGACCCGGGATCCAGTTGTGTTCAAGTTTAGATACTAATCACTCTTATCATGTTTAATGTCTTTTCTCTTTTCTTCTGTCGTTTCGAACTAAACTCCATTAAACTTCATGTTGTCCTGCAAATTTTTTTCGCGCTTAACATAGATTATTTCATAGCTATTAGTTTATATACATACCAATGCATACATTTTCAGATTGATGTCATACAGTAGTTTGGTTGTAAGATTTTAATCTTACCCCATTCTTAATTGTGTATTTTATCTTTTACAATTCATATAGATTTATTATTATTATTATTGCAATTGACCAGACAACATTCCTTTCATGATTCATTACATTCCAACTATTAAGTGACATCCTTTGGATGAATTTTAAGATTCATCATTTAGCCTGATGTCAAGAAACACTAAAAATCAAAAGGAGATACAACCAAAATGAAGAAGTAAACAATGACAGGTTAAAGGTCAACAATAACCAATCAACATCGAGGTCTATAGGACAAGCTGTGAGCTATATGTTGAAAAATTAGAACACTTCACTTCTACCTAATGTTTGTGCTGATGGTGTCGTTTGGAATAACGACGAAAGCTCCACGGTCATACCATTCAGCTCAGGGAACAAAACTCCATCAAAATTGAGAAACACAATAGTTCGATCATTTCTCTAGATATTCATAATTTCATCAGAACAACAGTTGACACAAATCCTATTCTCTAATTATGGTTGATGAAATTCATTTGTATGACAGAAATCATACATTGTGGTAAAAAGTAGCATAAACCTTAAAAAAGTTCAAAGGTCGTGTTGTTGTTTCGGGTCAATGAATGACTGTTCGCGATGGGTTGTACAAATTTTTTTAGTGGGCTGTAAACAAAGCAAAAGTAGGACTGGTCTGATAATTATGTCTGAATGCTTAAATACACTAGATATGTTAGTATTTTTGTTGTTGAAATGAACATAGGCCTAATGAGAAAACGATTCAACCAACCAGAAAATAAGCGTTCTTCAAAGTAAAATTATTTAAACAAATGGTTGAGTTTGGTTTCACTGCTTTATGTATAACCGAAATTGTAAAATACTAATCTTCAGTTTCATATAATCCCCTTAAATTAGTTAACTAAGATTTCGGATCATACGGTATGTGTTATAAATCTTGGATCTGTATTGTGTAAGTGTAGTCTTTATTGGGCAGAGTTCGAGATGTTAATGATTTGAAAAACACAATATCATCTACTGTTTAACTAATTTAGATGTAGAGGATTAGGCTTCATGGTCAGATTTGATGTCTGAGAATTTAAAGTAACCTTGATTTACAATGATTTCATTTATAATTAATTCTAAGATTATATACATCATTTGCTGATTATTCATTCGTATTAGTAAAAACAGATGTTCATTTGAGTTTTCTATGGAATCCCATCAATAATGAACTCAAGTTTTGAGTTAACAGAGAACAGTTGTGCTGTAAGCAAATGATAATCGTATTGAGGGATCGAGATTCCATCTCGATTGTAATATCCAATAATCTTAATATCGTGCAAGTTATATGTTGGTTTAGATGGAATGATGTACGAACGATATAAATGAAAGAAACCACCAATAGACCAATGAGCTATATGAATATATTCTACAATTCTATCGTATCTCTAGAAATTTTTTTGTTGATAAAGCCTGTTCAAACATATAGTCCCCAAAAAGATATCAGTCAGTGTTAAACAACGAAGAATCCGGTATATATATCGATCGGTTTACCTTTCCATATCATATTAGCAAAATGCAAAGGCACTGTCAAAACAAATTTCAGAGGAGAAATAGTAGCAGTAGCAGAATATACTCAGCTTAGACAATATAATTCGAGAATGAATTCGTTAGGTGAAATGTATAATTTTGACATCCAAGATCTCAGTGAACATCAAAAGTAAATGAATTTAGGCCAATGAGACCGATTTAGAGCCACATCAACCAGTCTCTGAACACTGGTTACGATAGTTGCGTGGATCCCAACCACGTAATTTGAACTTATTAACACGGGTCATTCCATTTGTCAATGACCACAATTGATTGATCACTGGGTGGTGATCAATCTCATGCTTGTCTAGTCCTTATTAGTGCAGATCGAATGCTATCGATCATGTTGCAATGTGGCCACCAGTCTAGGTGACTCGACACTGCGGGCACTATGTATTGAGATTAGATGGTGGTTGGAGGTAGTCAACAGGAAACCCTGGACCCGGGTTTCGTGCTACTTGGCACTCGTCAGCAAGGTGTACCTGTAATCTTGAGGGAACTGGTGCTCCCTGGCGGACTCGATCTCGTGTCACCCAGCTTCACAGTCAGAGACGTTACCACTGAGCTATCCGAGCCGTGACTAACCTCCTGTAGGACTGAGATGTAATCACAATTGATTGATCACTGGGTGGTGATCAATCTCATGCTTGTCTAGTCCTTATTAGTGCAGATCGAATGCTATCGATCATGTTGCAATGTGGCCACCAGTCTAGGTGACTCGACACGGCGGGCACTATGTATTGAGATTTAGATGGTGGTTGGAGGTAGTCAACAGGAAAACCTGGACCCGGGTTTCGTGCTACTTGGCACTCGACAGTGGTAACGTCTCTGACTGTGAAGCTGGGTGACACGAGATCGAGTCCGCCAGGGAGCACCAGTTCCCTCAAGATTACAGGTACACCTTGCTGACGAGTGCCAAGTAGCACGAAACCCGGGTCCAGGGTTTCCTGTTGACTACCTCCAACCACCATCTAATCTCAATACATAGTGCCCGCAGTGTCGAGTCACCTAGACTGGTGGCCACATTGCAACATGATCGATAGCATTCGATCTGCACTAATAAGGACTAGACAAGCATGAGATTGATCACCACCCAGTGATCAATCAATTGTGATTACATCTCAGTCCTACAGGAGGTTAGTCACGGCTCGGATAGCTCAGTGGTAACGTCTCTGACTGTGAAGGTGGGTGACACGAGATCGAGTCCGCCAGGGAGCACCAGTTCCCTCAAGATTACAGGTACACCTTGCTGACGAGTGCCAAGTAGCACGAAACCCGGGTCCAGGGTTTCCTGTTGACTACCTCCAACCACCATCTAATTTGTCAATGACTCTATGAACTGATGTTTGAGAGAAACGTTTGCAAAATATCTGCTTCAAAATTCTACAAGTTAAAATGATCAGGACGTAATCTCATTCACCAAACCTACAACTTGACTAATTAACAGATATAATAATTCATTCCTATCACCAAACAAAAAAATCAATAATCCGTCTGAGTTTTATGGTGGTTAACAAGTTCACAGCCTCATATACATTGTTTTGTAAAAGAATGTTATGATTATTAATTGGTAATAGTTTTGAACGAAGTTTCATATGTGACATAAACATTCAACTTTCAATAATTATGAGGTCAAATCCATTCCACCCATACAAGTTTAGGTCACAAGACAGTGTCATAAAGTTGAATGATAAATTTGGTAGTCACTCCCATTAAATAGGAATACACGGGTTTTAGAGATGGAGAACATATTTTATCTCGGGATGAGGATTTCGGAAAGTGGATTAACTAAAAAATTACTGGAAGAATAATCTTTTCTGAACATTAGTTGGTTGTAAACTACATATACATTCATTAACCAGCGAAAAGAAACCTCACGATTCCTCTACAATGTTGCAACAACATACAAATCAGAGGAATTCCAGCTGATATTTAATCATGGAAATGATTATGGAATACGAAAACAAATTCTATCTCACAATAGTCAGTAGATCGTTCGGATCTCATAAATATGTATTACTAAACAGGGAATTACAAAGTTGTTATCACTACTCTAGTGGTACGTTGACGGTGGCCTATTTGTGTGAAATGATGTGGTAGGAATGGGTTTTTTTTAGATAAAGTATCAACATACTTCAGTAAATCGTCTAGGTTAAAACTAAATGAAAATGGAGACGAGACAGAATTTTATAAAATAACCCTAGTTGCACTAATAACATTAGAATTAACTCACATGGTATTGTTTTACTTGAATCTTCCCATTGATGTTTAGAACTGAAATTGATCAGTCACTTATTGGCATATGTGCATACAGTGCGTATTGCCGCGATATTGTCTTAATTTACAAGCATTATAAGCTGACGAGTCCCAAATAGAACGAGACGCGCGTCCTGGATTTCACTGCTAGCCACTATTCATCTTTGCTTATAACATTAGAATTGTTACGAATTTTTAGTGTGACTAGGATTTTTATTTACGGTTGACACTAAACTTGTCTAGCAATACTAAACTATCGATACATTAATTAGTACTTTTATTTGACCAAAACACATAATATTATCTATTTTAAAACGCTACAATTACAGAAGATAGGTACACGAAACTGACTGAAGAATGGATATTATGGAGACAAAGTGACATCTGAGAGTAATTGAATATATTACCAACCGCTAAAATTCACACACCTAGTCGAATACTTGACAAAACACCTGATTAAATTGAGGAGCATAACTCCCAGTTTTTGTATACATGAGAAACAAACTACACTCCCAATGAGTAAAAAAACCTAGATTTTCTGACGTTTCGTGACTCAGTGTTAGCCACGTCTTCAGAGAATAAATAATCAAATCAAATTAATGCAGGTTTAGATAGCACAAAGGAACAACGCAAGAATATTATATTACAAATGTGCTTTTTTATTTAAAACAATCTACCCAACACTCAATTTATTCAGAATTATCAAGTCAAACCTTCGTAATGGTACCTACAAACTACACCCACGTTCACTTTTTTTTCGAAAAACAAATGTATAAGCCCCAACAGATTCTTTTATTTTTATTAATTGTCACAAAAGTGTAGAAAAAATTTTCAGGATCGCAATCATTTCAGTACAATTAAATTGTTGTTTTTAAAGGAAGGTAGATACGAATAATAATTAATCGTAAGCATAATAAAAACAATAAAAACAGTACTATATCGTAATAGTAGTATAAAAGTTAGTTATAAAAAGAAGGAATAGACACAATTTCAAAACAGGTCAATCAAATCCAGATCTTCACGTACATACTGTTCAAAAACTTGTTGATAAAAGTATTACTAATAGTAATAGTAATAATAATAAAAGCTAAAAAAAACCATTATAAAAGTAAGGCATTTGAAATCAGTATTAGTAGGCGTAAAAGTGGTACAGTTTCGTTGATATAAAAATTAAACCATTACAAAAGTTGGAAGAAATTCTAAACTGTGCGAACGACAACCATAACAAGAATTAAAAATAGATTTGTTATATCTGGAAAAACCAGTTTTGTGTTGTACACCTCCATGCTAAGCTTTTACCTAGTAAGATACTATTACTATTGTTTGTAATACTGCTATAATGCAACTATATACTCATGAGCAATAGTTATGGATTAAAAAATACACATATATACGAGAGAACACAAGAATAACTTTACACATAATTTGATGGTATACCTGATCCATCTTTCAATGGTTCTTTCTCTAAACTTTTCTGTGGGGTATTATCCACTGAATAAACATTATCTATGTAATGTTCATATAAAGCCATAACAATTTCAGATGTGATCACATCACCAGCATTGATGGCCAGCATACGTACTAAAAATACACCATCTCGGCGAAGGTAATCATCAATGAATTCGTCTAAATCAGCGCGCGTAATCTCCTGACCAGTTCTTGAACGTATTCCTTTAATACGTAAGAAACGTTTGATAAAATCTTTACGTCTTGGTGCGATAATCATTCTTACTAACCATAATATTAAACTAAATATACTGGCAGCTATAAGGAAACAGATCCAAAACCAGAAAAATATATAGATTTTCTCGTTTAACATATTTATCGGTAGTGCACATTGTGCCGTATAAGCATTTTCAGCACCGACTAAACGAATACCTGGGACACGACAATAAGCTACACGTGGGAATAGAATTGTCTCTGGCCAATCACGTCCAGCACGTATATGGTTGGCAACAGTTAATCCGAATCCGAAACCGTCTAAATCTTCATTTTCTTGATTCGACATCGCTGCAACTATGCGGAAAGAATAAAATCAAAAAGATTTATTGTTAATAAATCACATTGTAATTATGATATAAATATCAAGACTGCGTCAACACCTAAACTAATGATGGAGATTGAAGTACTTGAGCCTGTCGATTACTTCACTTATTTTGAAGCTATCAGCTCTAACAGGTTAGTATCTGATGAAACATCCGAATGGATTTACAAGTCCCAGTTGAGGTTCGCCAACTTGAGTTAACTATGGCCTAGGAGAATTGCTTGTCTGTCGACCAAAGGGTGAGGATACTACGAGGCTATCCCCTTTGTACAACTCTCTAGTTATGCAGCTTGGCTAATGAAAGTAGGAGACATGCATGGGCTGTAGGTTTTTAATCATAAATGTTTACGAAACATTGTTTGGTACAGTGGGACGATAAACTGGGCAGTGCTGATGTTGGTCATCTGTCCACAAAGTTATTGACTGTCGGTCTGAGCCATACTAGTAGACGCAGACTACGTGGTGGAAATCCGCACGATAACCGTGACCAGTGGTTGGAGAATGTATATGATATGGCCCAGAACCGGTCCCAACAACACTTGTATTTACTTCATATCTTACTGCAGATCTTGAGTTACGGTATTCTGTCTTTCCAAACCATATTCTCAATACATCGTTTATTGTGTAGTTATCACTTACTAGATTATTTCAATTTATTTTATTTATTTATTTGAACACATAAATATTGGTACAAGGGGGCACCAGATATAATTATTTCGATCCTTTTTAGTATTCATCTTGTCAATCCCGATTCTTCACACTAATGTTGAACTGACACACATTTGTCTCAAGCTTTATGTCGATTGCGACTGATTGAAAATGTTGAATGAAATAATGCGGGATTAAGGTCTGTTAGAAAAGATTTGTGGTGGTAATTAGTTTAAGTGTTAGGTGGTATTCCTCATGAGTTGTGACATCAGTTGGAGTGTCACTAACCTGACCCAAAATTTAGAATTAGTAAGATGGTAGAGGTTCATAATTTCAATATAGAGATTCCGCTTTGGGTGCGATAAACAGAGCGGGGTTGAGATCAGATAATTTCAACTTAATGAGGATTATCAGTGTGGGATTGTGGAGATTGTTAAGTTTTTGATTGAGATCATGAATCGATGAATGCTAGACCACCATTGAAAACCTGGAAGCACTGGACGACCGTTTCGTCCAATTGCGGGACTCCTCAGCAGTGTGCACCCACGATCCCGCTCGTGGGATTCGAACTCAGGGCCTCCAGTCTCGTGCGCGAACGCTTAACCTACTGGACCACTGAACCAGCATTCAATGGTGTTAATGTATAGCCTCGACCAATCCACGAAATTGCGCGAACACCTTCCATTGTACTGAGGTAGAAACCTGTTTCTACCCGACACGGATTAGCTCCACTGGTCACGGCTTCTCACCAGAACTCCGAGAATTTCCTCACGAAGCTAGTCACTAGTGAGCACATGGTAATTATCAGTGTGGGGAATTACCCACATTAGTCAATGCTGAAAATTTACTCATTAGATGAGTAAGTATGAATATTGTGCTTCACTATATCGACTGAAGAAGTTTCTACTGAACTCGACAAAACATAAAATGAATCCGAAGTGGTATTTTTTAGCTCCCGACTTCTCTGTTTGAAATTAGAGTAACTTTCATTAATCTTATGCCCATGGGTTATTAGACAACTGAGCATGAAGAAACTGTATGTGTTGCATAAATGAACAGAAAAGGAATAGGGGAGTGTAGTAAAAAAATTAAGTGGACAGGAATGCTGTCACCTGGGGTGTTATTGAGTTGCTACCGATATAAGCAATCTTCCTATACACGATTCTAACCAAGTGCTCAAGTGGAAGGACGTTTATTGACGAAATGTGATTAGTTCAGTGTATCAAAGGATAGTATACAATAGGAGATATAGTTCAATTAAAGACACATCTGAGAATCCTCTTCAAGTTAAGGGAGTTCCTCCCGCATTTATGGAAAATGTAAAAGAAAATTAGAACAATATCGTCATTAGCATATATTCTCAGCCATGTTTGACTAACATTTTAAGCCACTGGCTTGAAACCTATCAACGACCTCAACCTCAGTCTCGATGAACTGGCGAATACTAGTACTATAAGACCTCCTTTCATGATGAGATTGTTTCTACATTTTCGAATTATTGCATTTAGAAAAGTATGAATAGTTGATAGGCACAGTTAAGTACTGTGAATCCAATGTAAACATGTAATTTTAGTTAGACGATGTTGGGAAATGTAAAAAACAATTTAATTTTCTTACTTGGAATATAAACTCAAAAAAGAAAGCATGAATGTCCATTTACCTGCCGAGCTAGCTTCGTATGGTTTCCCTAATTGCATACTTTTCTGTCCCGCGCTTCCATCAGCATAAAAACCAAGAAAACGTTGAATCAAATATACTTGCATAATTGCATTGATAATTGTTATGAGTTTAACACATAAATATGAAAATACCAGACATGTTCCAAGTCGTTTGCTAACAACACATATACCACACATGTCATATGCACGTCTAGTTATATTCATACGACGACCCTATATTAAAAAAAAGAAACGGGAGAGGTTGTAAAGCTGGGTCAAAATACCTGGGCAAGATAATTTATAATCCGCCTTTCCATCAGAAGAAATAATGGACCTTATAATATTTAAGGCAAAAGACCAAAAGAGCTCATCAATTGACTGTCAAGTTCGAATTGTATGAACCATGATTGAGGATCTTTATTTTAATTTAGGTAAACATTTTCGTATACATTATAGAATATAAGAAGTTTTGAGTTTAGATCTTATACAAACGAGAAGAAAGGTAATTATACCTTAAAATAAGCAACTCAGTAGTAAATACGATCGTATGCTAACGAACACGTCATAGGTATATCACAATAACTTTCAGTACATGGTACTGATAATAACCAAGATTTTTATTCTAAAAGAAGGCTAACCCCGTGGACAACAAACTAATTAATAGTTCACAGCTTTATTTTTCCTTGCTCTATTTCAGCCGTTGGCATCATTAGATGTGCATTGTGATTTGCAAAAGCTGTGGTGTAAAAATAGTCAGTTAGGTTGTTTAGGCAGCAATGTAGTGGTGCTACTGTTCAACTTCTAACCGCTATGTCGTAGGTACGATCGCTGCCCTACCTAAGTTATTTTGGGTAACTGACTAGTATCAACGGTCCACACATATGAAAATGAGACTCAAAGTTGAGTATAGAAATTTGTAGTTCGTCGATGAGTAACGGTTCTTATTTATTTACTTATTTATTTGAACACATGAATATTGGTACAAGAGAGCGCCAATATATATGCGCCACACAAAACAATGAGGATTCGAAGAGAAATAGAAAAAAAAGCTAAGGAGCGCAAAAAAAGGGAACAATAACGAAGAGATTAGTGTAAGGTAGTGTGGTAGTAATGAGGGAACGGAAAGGTACAATCAGAAGAAATCTTTCAGGTAAGGGAGACACAATTACTTTTTATGAAGAAAGTAAAAGAAGGTTACAGCAGGATCGCCACTGGCTTCTATTCTGAGCCATATCTGATAACGTCTCTAGCCACTGTGTAGCACCAGGGAGTCGTGAAGGACCAACACAAGCCAGTCCTTTGCAGCTTTCTTCTATGCCACGACACCATGTCATGCACTGACCACCTCTCCGCTTTTTCCAACCAGTCCCAGAGTCGGCAAATAATGCACGACGTGGAATTCTCTGGGACGACATTCGGAGAACATGTCCAAGCCACCGAAGTCGGTGTTTCAAGATGGTGACACCAATTGAATTATCATCTCTGTGCCCGAACACACGATGCCGAACCTCTGCATTACTGACATGGTGTTGCCACTGAATGTCAGCAATCCTTCGGAGACAGCGATGATCGAAAACAGAGAGTCGTCTAACGTCCTCAACTCGGAGAGGCCAGGTTTCACAAGCATAGAGCAAAACTGCTCTCACCGACGCGTTGTAGATCCGACCTTTTACAGCCAGACTAACATCACGAAGGCGCCAAAGGTGGCCCAGATTGGCATAAGCCGCTCTGGCTTTCACTATACGTGCATTGATCTCATCACTCACACCCCCACCAGCACTTATGCAGCTACCCAGATACACGAACTTCTCGACTACGTCTATCTGCTCACCATCCAGGGTGAGTACAGGATTGGAATCCTGCCAGTCTTGTAGAAGTACTTTGCACTTCGAAGGTGCAAAGCACATACCATACCTACGGACACTGATTGCCAACTGATTAAGTGCGGATTGCATGGCTTGGGCATTATCGCACAGTAGGACAATATAATTCGCGTACTCAAGGTCGAGAAATCTTTCTCCAGGCAACAGATCCACACCACCATTACTTACATTCATCAGAGCTGTTTCCAGAATGTCATCGATGGCAAAGTTGAAGAGGAATGGTGAGATTGGGCAACCCTGTCTAACCCCACTGCTCGAATGGAACAATGGAGAGAGGCAGTTGTATGCCCTCACTCTGCCTGAGGTGTTTGTATATTGGGCTTTTAGGATGTTAATAAACTTCTCAGGCACACCCTTCCTCAATAGACAATCCCAGAGAACAGTCCTATCCAACGAATCGAAGGCAGCCCTGATGTCAAGAAACACTACGATTGTTGGCCTTTGATAAGTATGGCGGTGTTGCAAACAATTTTAAGCCATGTCATTGAAGGTCTCTAACCATCGGTTGCCATTGTCTCACGGATCTCAACCAGGTAATTTACACCTACCAACATGGCTCAGCTCACTTGTCAGTGACTTCATGGATTTGTGCCATGTTTTGGTCTGGCCGCCTCTAGCTTTCTTCCAACCTACTCGTACACCATAAAGCATCGCACGTCGGGGCAGTCGGTGGTTGGGCATACGTAACACGTGTCCCAGCCATCTCAACTGATGAAGTTTCACTACCTAATCAATTGGTTTGCCATCCTTACCTAGTACCAGCGCTTCTTCCTGATTTCTTCCTCCGCTGGGATCTGCTTTGTTCTTTCCACAGTTGGTTGTTGCTAATAGTGTCCGGCAAATGGATCCGAAGTATTTTGCGTAGACGACTGTTAATAAACACCTGTATTTTCTGGATGATGACTTTCGTAGTTCTCCAGGTTTCTGCCCCATACAGTAGAACTGTCTTGACATTTGTATTGGTGTTGGTTGACAGTTGCTTTGACTTCCAGATGTTCCTCAGTTGTAAATATCCTGCTCTTGCTTTGCCGATCCGCGCCTTCACATCTGCATCAGATCCACCCTGTTCATCAATGATGCTGCCCAAATATGTAAAGGTTTTTACATCTTCCAAATCTTCTCCGTCAATTGTGATTGGATTGGTGCATTCTGTGTTGTATCGGAGAATCCTGCTTTTCCCTTTGTGTATATTGAGACCTATTGCTGCTGAGGCTGCTGCCACATTGTTCGTCTTCTCCTGCATCTGTTGTTGCGATTGCGTTAGGAGGGTCAGATCATCTGCGAAGTCTAGATCGTCCAACTGCATCCTAGATGTCCACTGTATCCCGCGTTTCCCTTCAGACGTTGACGTCTTCATGATCCAGTCGATCACCAGTAGAAAGAGGAAGGGTGAGAGTAAGCAACCTTGCCTGACACCGGTCTTTACCTCGAACGAGTCTGTCAGTTGTCCTCCATGCACAATTTTGCAGTTTAATCCATCATAGGAATTCCGTATGATATTGACTATCTTCTGAGGCATCGTCGAAGCATTAGTGAAGCTAATGTTTTAGACGCTATATTAGTCAAACTGATTTCTCTGTGATTGTCACAAGAGGACTTTTGTCCTTTCTTATAGACTGGCACAATCAGTGATTGAGACCAGTCAGATGGGATTACGTCCAGTCCCCAAATTCTACCTAAGACCTCAGTCAATCTCACTGCTAATACTGGACCACCATCCTTAAAAATCTCAGGGGTAAACCTGTCAGGGCCTGCTGCTCTCCCTCGCTTTAGATTTCCTATAGCTTTTTCAACTTCATAAAGAGTTGGAGGACTTACATCAACTTGTCATTCAGGTCGACTGGAAATCGTGGGAAACCAAGATGTGGCTGAAGGCCAGTTAAACTGATCCCTAAAGTGTTCTGCCCATCGATCCAATCTCCTGGATTGAGAATGAATAATATGCCCATCTTTTTCCGAGATAGTTTCGTTAACAGTTGGTTTCCTAATACCGGTTTCCTTAACAAGTCTAAACAGTTGTCTGCTGTTACCTGTTGCCACTGTCTTTTCCACCTCGCTTGCTTTCGTCATCTCTATAAGATAATTTAGTGACAAGATGTTGTGTGAAAACAATATTTAGTAAAACTTTGGTACTTCACTATTTGAGTAAGTTTCTCTTATGTGTGTATGTGTGTGACTCACACATTAAATGAACTTGAAAACCTGTAAGTTAACAGCTCTCGAAATATTTAACACTTTATCCAAATGAATAGGCAACAATACGACCTGGTGAAGTTCCTACTTAGAAATAAACACTAGAAACAATAAGAGATTTTATATCACCATATAAACTAATCAATCAACTTACATGTCGACAATCCTTATGACCATCAATCATATCTTCCAAAAATTCAGCCACACGTTTAACTTGGCTCTTACGAGAACCACGTTCAGAGATTGCGGCATCGGCAGCGGCTTTCACAAGAGCAAACAAATCTCCACCGGATCTATGGGCGCATACAGCCTGCCATGCAATATGTGGAATGTAGAAAAATATACATTGCAACCCGAGAACAAATGGGACCCACTGGTAATAAGCTGTAGAATTAAACACAGTAAAACATTTTTTCTGTACGATGACAACAACAGAGCAATTGTATTGCATTTATTTATTTAAACACAAACATTGGTACGAAGAGGCACCAAACAGATATACTCTGGGATACTGCTCAGGTGCCCAAACCGAAGCAGGTAATTGTATCACATAATTATTAGAGAAACGGCTACTTTTTGCAGTTTTCCTTTTATCGAGTAAGGTGAGAAAGAGAATTCTGCAAATTAAAATGACTTCATTATTGTCTTAAATTACGAAAACAGTTTGAATACTAATTGCTGAATCGAATTAATGAATTGTTAAGAGATGAAACTTTTTGACTTCTTAAATCCCATAAATTCGTTGCTAAACACTGTAGATCACTAATTATTCAGTAAGCGGTTAATAAATAAATTTACTGTACAGTTTAATACTAAATGCTAAAAGGACTATATGCGAGGATTGATATTTTCTAATTGCTCATATTAAGGAATGCTATCGATCAATCTTAATTAGTATAGGTATATTCGGAGCGATACGTCTTGACTTTATTTTTATTTAGTCATATATTTTTATGATCTCTAATTTATGGTCGGCAATGAATAATGCACTGGCGTTGAGAGAAGTTATGGTTTGAAGTCTTGGTGCTGACGTCAAAATTAAGATACAAGGACATTCAGTTGACGAGTTTCAAACGGGGTGAAATGAGTTTTTTCAGACTTCACTATCAAGTAAAATCTAAATATATGCTAAAATAATTAAGGTCATGTTAAACTAATATGCAAATCACCTTGATAAAGACAATCAATCGGATTGTACGATAAATGGATGATATAACGGAATAATTAATGATGTAGACGTGTAAATGTACATAGAGCAAGAGACAATGTGATAAACAACGACCAATTTATCCAACGAAGTACAACAATTTCAAAAAAAGATTTACGTAAAAATCTATGCATTTAATTTAATTTCACATTTTATACCTGTGCACATATGAGATAGAGAGGAAGTGTGGAAACAAGACTAACAAATTACACAATTTTCTGCACATATGTATGGATCACAAATTGTTTACATTTGAATCGTAGATCAAATATCTGATCAATACGCTTATGTACACAAAAGGTTGACAGAGAACGAAAACTAGAGCAAAGAAATGAACCATTTTTGGTGGGATGTCGCCGATGAAGTAAATTACTTTATTACACTTCTGTAGCGAAATACTTGTAGTTGAAAAAGGATCACGATATTTATCTCGAATAAATATCTGAAGATCGCTTATGATTGTTATTTCTTTATATGAAGAGGAAACGACAATGTGAAAGCAAAAACAAAGCGAATGATTGTCTTTCATGTGAAGATTGTATGTAACATGTACATAGATGAAAACTCTTAGTTTATTTTCGTTCGTTTATAACAAATGTAGACAAACCATTTAGTCATTTACTAGATAACATACATGTTGGTAGGAATATAATCCTGGCTATAGTGATCTTTGTCTCATAGCTATATCTGGCTGACTAGGGAATTTCGCTCATGAAAAGAATTCAGATCATTTAGAAATGTCAACAATACTATTAAAACTAGTATACGCAGACAGGTTTCATTAATTTTCTAGCGAAATATTTCTGATTATAGACAAGATTTTTAACTGAAAATTGAAGTATAAACTCATTCAAGGTTGGCCCAATAGTAGTTACACTGTCTGGTGCTTTCTAGTTTACAGCAATATTGCAACTAAGGTCAATTACTGTCAACTAAGACTGCTTCAGATAGATAGTCATCATAGGGGAACCCTAAGAGTTATTAACCTAGGAACACACTCATAGTTAGAATAAGGATGTGTTCATTAGACAACACGCTCATGTAGAACAGAAAATGAGTAGCACATATCAACTTGCTTTGAAAGCAATCAAGAACATTTTTTAACATTCGGTTAATACTATGGAATGCCATCCAGCGATAAGAAATATATTACGATCTAATCAATTTGTCTATTTTTTTTTTAGGAATAATCATTTACAAGCAAAGAAAATGTCACAAATAAAAACTAAGCAATAGTTCTAAGACATAACATTGTACATACAAACCTTTTGTGTTTTTTATTTATAGTTACACCCACCTTATAAACATACAGCACATGACAATTTAATTGGTTAATACTAGACAATAAATATATCCACGCATCTCAAGTAATTTTATGCAAATCATGAATAGATTGTTCTGAACACATAATGATGAAAAGTTATCTTGAAAGTAGATCAATAATTTGATATAAGCTGTTTTAAGGTGATAATAGGGTATTCTAAACAAGTTACAATATTAATACATAACAGAATAATTATTAAAAGGTTAAGATGTTTGGAATTGAGAGTAAGGAATGAAAAAAAACCCTCAAAAAGAATGATCAACATGAAAGTGCACTACTAGGTGTTCTTCAGTCACTGATTGACGTCAAAGAAAATATACTTGTTGGAAAAAAAGGGTTAGTGGACAGTTTTGATGTAGATTATATGATGCACTCGACTTAAATGGTACTTCTCAATAAACTCTGTTGGGATGCCAGGTAAGTGAAGGACTGACAATAAACTTATGCATGTTTATTAGTAGGACTATACAAGATCTAGCAATTAATGACATAAAATGTCTCCTTTAAATCGAAGACTCCAAGTTAACTTTTTCAAAGTCAACCAGGTAAAAATTCTATTTTTACTTTATTATATGCTTAGATTGATGCCCATTTATGCTTAAGAGAGGTTGTCATCTAACTGAACGGAAAATAAGCAAGCATCAAGAAAATCCCTTCAATACAAAAACAGTATGATTTCAATATGGCTTTCTGAATTATATGCAATGTAAATTATAATCTGACAAAATGTAAGAATCAGAAAATAATTGCAAGCTTACTTATACGCCTTAAACGATCATACTCATCCCATTCTTCACGATTAACCGGTAATTTTTCATCTGGCCTCAGAGGGATTGTACCATGTACCCAACAATAATCCGTAAGGTAAGCATTAAAATTGTCGCCCGTGGGCTTTACCGGAACATAACATGAGATTGAACTCATAAAATATTGTTTTGTTGACACAATTATACATGATAAGAGGAATAAAACAACTGTGAATAAGTTAAGGCGATCTGAAAAATCCTCAACCGCTACACGATTCCCATAGCTGTATTTAGAGAAAAATTCAATGAAATCCTTCGCTACCATACTCAGCCTACAACGCTAAGCATGAATTAAATAGTGAGTCATTCTTGCAAGCTTTATTGTTATTATAGATTGATGTGTGACCTTCGTGTGCATGTCTAAAACAACAGACTAAACCTAATAATCTGATTGGTTCAGAGTAGGATGAATTATATATATATATATCAGCTGATAGATATTTACACCCCACAAAGATGAGTTTTAGACTGGAATAAATTTTTAAACAAAGGTACACAGAATTTGCAATTTTGTTTACTAAATAACCAATTAAAAATAAGATTATTTACTTAAGCATAGAGACAATTTTGATGTGTTTAGCTCGATGACTACAATGTGTACATTGACAGTAATTGTATTTGTAAATATGAATATTAGAAAATACATTTGGTAGATAAACAATAAATGAAACGATATTTAATTGATATCATGGTTGGATCTAAACAACGGATGGAGTTAGATACTTCTTAAAAAAGATAAAAACTCCATACTACTATGTCTTTTTAGCAAACAATTTTACTGTACTAAAGACATTATTATATAAGCGAAACTTCCTTCAGAAGCATAGAATTATAATATACATTTAGTTAATAATAATTAGAGTAGTTTTCAAACTATAATCACACTTTTTTTGTCACAAGACTCAAATGATCAAATAATAAAACTTAGTAGTATAATCATATAGAACAGATGATTATTATGTTATTAATTTCAATGGTCCATGCGCTAAATTGTGGCCAATGTTTTTATGTCTGTGAAGAACTTTGAAAAACCAAGAGCATTTTCTCATCGAGGATTATAATCTACCGAAAAAATCATTTAAAATACAAAAGTACCTAAAAGTCAATTCGGTTTTATCACAGAATCAAGTCATTCACACATATACCACTAATGTTGAAGTCTTGAAATAATCAAAATATCATTAAGCTGTCCTAAACACAGTAACTGATAATACTCAAAGATGGAATAGTGGCTAGCAGTGGAATCCAGGACGCGCGTCTCGTCCTATTTGGGACTCCATCTTTGCTTATAATGCTTGTAAATTAAGGCAATACGCACAGTATGCACATATGTCAATAACAGACTGATCAATTTCAGTTCTAAACATCAATGGGATGATTCAAGTAAAAACAGTAACTGGTGTTTTTCAACTTCATTAAAAAAAAACATGTGTAGAATGGAAGCCTGAGATGGTGGAAAAGATTTGCAGCTCAGGTGAATGGTTTTGATGGGGTTTTGTTCTCTGAGCTGGATGGTTTGGACGTCCAAAGACTATCAGAATGGAAGCCTCAATCTAAGAATAAAGACCAGTGGACTCGATCTACAAATATGATTGATATACTGCTTTCATTGCGATACTAATGTGTCAGATCTGATACTTCGCGTATTTGTGGATAAATAATGCTGATGACTATAAAGTAAACCGAAAAAATAATAAATTTTCGCTGTACTCAGTTTTCAATTAGCTGGAGTCAGTACTCTGTAAAAACGAGAAATGTTATTATGTTACTTGAATAATATTAAGTAGTTAGAAAACATAATGGAAAATTATTAAACATAAACTCACACGCATTAGTATTACTTAGAAGCGGTGATACGAACGGATATGTTTAACCAAATTAATTACAGATAAAAGTAATCGTAATGTTTTTACTCACATTAGGAATTTAACTGGTCTAAACCACCCTTTTGTTCCAGCTGAGCCTTGAATAAACTTATTCCTTCTTTCATTTTTCTACTTCTACATATTGTTCAATATCCGTCCTTTGATTTTTACATAGCTACTAT